AGTGATCACCGCCATCGTCGTCAACTGTCCCATGTCTCGTGTCAACATCCACCTTTTCTTTCTTTCTCTGCTCTCAATGCTTGACAGCCATGGCCCAATGTCTCCTGGTAAGACAAACCCAGACTCAAGATGGTATCAAATTCGCTGCTGCTGTGCGGGCTGAACCGATGACTTCAAGTCTATCGTTGATGATCGTCTTCGTGACTCTCTAGCGAGAGAGCTATTTAGGCGCTCTGGGTAGGAGCGGGAGGAGCTCCGGAAGGAGGAGGGCCGGTGGGAGTGCCGGTAGGCTTGGGAGGGGGGGTTCCGCTAGGAGCAGCACCCTCAGCTTGAGCACCGCTGGGACGAGGAGGAGGGGTGCCAGAGGGAGGAGCGCCGGAGGGAGGAGTGCCGGAAGGCTTGGAGGGAGGGGCGGACTCGGCGCGCTTCTGGGCGGGAGCGGAGGGTGCGCCGGAAGGAGGAGGGCCGGTGGGGGTGCCAGTGGGCTTAGGGGGAGGGGTGCCGGAGGGAGCAGCACCCTCGGCCTGAGCACCGGAAGGTCTAGGGGGAGGAGTTCCAGAAGGAGCGCCGGAGGGGGGAGCACCGGAAGGAGGAGCACCAGTGGGCTTGGTACCGGTAGGAGCGGCGTCCTCGGCGCGGCGAGCATTGCCGGTAGGAGCGGGAGCACCGGAGGGAGGGGCACCAGAGGGAGGAGCACCGGAAGGAGCGCCGGAAGGAGGGGGGCCAGAAGGCTTCACTCCAGAAGGCGGGGGACCGGTAGGCTTAGGACCGGCGGGGGCAGACTCGTCAGCGCGCTTGGCGTTGGTGGGCTTAGGAGCGCCGCTGGGAGGAGCACCAGAAGGAGGAGCACCAGAGGGAGGAGGGCCACTAGGGCGAACTCCTGAAGGGGGAGGTCCAGACTCGCCAGAGGGCTTGGCTGGGGGAGCAGACTCAGCACGGCGAGCATTGCCAGTAGGAGCGGGAGCACCAGAGGGTGGAGCTCCAGAAGGCGGGGCACCTGAAGGAGGAGCGCCAGAAGGAGGAGGACCGGAAGGCTTCACTCCGGACGGGGGAGGGCCGGTAGGCTTGGGGCCTGCGGGAGCAGACTCGGCGCGGCGAGCATTGCCGGTAGGAGCAGGGGCACCGCTGGGAGGAGGGCCCGAAGGAGGAAGGCCGGAGGGGGGTGCGCCGCTCGGGGGAGGACCGCTGGGGCGGACGCCGGAAGGAGGAGGTCCAGACGGCTTAGCACCGGAGGGCTCAGCACGCTTGGCGTTGCCAGTAGGAGCGGGTGCATCGCTGGGGGGAGCACCAGAGGGAGGAACTCCAGAGGGAGGAGGACCGCTCGGGTGGACACCGGAGGGAGGTGCACCGGACGGGGGAGCACCAGTGGGCTTAGCACCGGCCTCCTGAGCACCGAAGCCGCCGTGGCCGCCACCACTGGGCTGAGCGACGCCGCTGGGGCGAGGAGGGGGAGTGCCGCTCGGGGGAGCACCGGAAGGTGCGCCGGAGGGCGGGGGCCCAGAGGGCAGGGCAGAGTTCTGGCGACGGTTCATCATACCACGGAAGCGGCGCTGCTGCTGAGCCGGGGGTGTGCCGGAAGGTGGGGCACCGCTGGGAGGCAGGCCGGTGCCGGAAGGGCGCGGGGGAGGAGTGCCGCTCGGGGGAGCTCCACTGCCGTGGGGCGGGGGGGCCAGCCCAGTGCCGGACGGGGGCGCACCAGAAGCCTGGGGCGCCGGCGCCGCTGAGCTGATGGCCGCGATGGCGGTAACAAGGGCGAAAATGAGGTTGGAACGCATCCTGGCGAATGATTGAAGTGAAGTTGTTGAAAAAAAGGGTGATGTCGAGGTAAAAAAGAAAGAAAGAAGGGGGGTTGCGGTAGAACAAGTGAGGTTGTTGAGGAAAAGAAAGAAGATGCAGAAGAGATAAGATGAGATGAGTGTGGTGATGAGAAGGAAAAGAAGAGTCTGGATTAGTTGGATATCCGATGCGTTTATATCTTTTTTCGATACTATACTGACACCGATGATGGGATGGTTTAGCTCGAGTTTCTCGACTTACACCCAAGTGACATGCTCAGCACGTCTTCGAGTCGAGGAGTTGACGACAACGCGGCTCAGCTCCGCAATTCGATGTCCCAGTGGCTCCATCGCGGGCTGGGCCCATCAGGGAATATTCCGTGACGCTATGATCGACTCTCGAGAAAGCACGGAGAAAAGCCCCATTGTCACTGTGGGGAGCTGTTCCAATGCTTGACTGAACATAGTATGCTGTGGCATGTCTGCTTGCGCGGCTTTCCGTCTTGGTTCATCGTTGGCCCAGCCGCGATAGGGCGGTGTCAAGTTGAGTGAGATGGCTCCATGAAGCCCCGACAAGGGACACCAGGGTTTACACAGCACAGTAAGCCACTTTGGGGCCTGGTAGTATCCAGCAACGGGGGACTACAGGAGGTGTTCGTCGGGTCTAGTGCGTCTGAAAGTTTGGTAACGATTGGCCTTGAGAGACCGTTTGTTTCGAAACGTCTGGTTTCGACGCTGTTAACGCCTGTCACTGACAAGTTGTTCTGGCCCCCTAATCCTATGCAGGGACAAACAGGCCAAAAAAGCTCTCCCGAGACAGCACTTGGGGCTGGGACACGCAAGCCCGCCCACTTCCCGAATTAGGATCCCGGGTAGCGCCCCGAAGGGCTGCGCCGGTGGCCCGGGGCCAGGGGCGGATTAGTCGACCGCTTTGAGGAATGTGGCGACGGAATTGCTTGCGTTGACACCAATTGTCACTTTTTTGGAGACTTTATCCTCCAAATTGCTTGCATATTGTACAGACATCGGACGATGATGGCCGAAGTTTCCCAAAAGGGAGTTTTCGGAGTTGTCATGCACCAGACCCTTGAGGCCGGGAAAAAGAAGAACTAGCATTTGCGTGTTTGTGACTCAAAGCGAGATCAAAGGGAGTGAGACAGGCTGGGAAAAGAAGCGCTAGAAACTACGGAAGATGCCATCGCCCCCCTATGCTCCCTTACAATGGAGCTTGCCTCGATGACGTGGACTCTCAGCTCCCTACCAGCCAGTTGTCCAGCTTTAGGTTTTGCGTACGCACCTCTGAGCCTGATGTTCTCAGCCTGCCGTACGTATGTTGCGTGCATCTATTCTTGGAAGAGAACATGTTCGTCACAAAGTTGAGCTGGTTTTCGAAAGGCTCATCCCGATTGGGATTGACGTGCTCCAATCATTGTATCCAGTTGTGGTAAGATGCTTCAGTGGAGTTGCAGAGTCGATGAAACCGTTAGCTTGATTTACTCCAACAGGGCGACGTACACCACAATCAATTTGATTCAAGCTCACCAAGAAGCGTCGATCAACCGAGATGTGGGATCAAATTGACGAGACATGGGTCGGAGCTGTCTGCAAGTGTCCGCCTTTCACGCCAATCATTGGTGTTTGTACCGTGGTATTATCTGTGTAGAGCTTTAGCCTCGTGCAGTTGAAGCATAATTGACGGCAGTCTCTGGAGCATCACACCATTACGGAGAATATGAAGCCATGTTCAGATCGACAACTAAAGTTTCTCCATCCAATAGTTGCCCCGTTTGCGGGTTTTCTTTAGATGATGATTTTCAGCTTCTTGTCTCCCCGTAGCGGGATTTGCCGTTCCAACCTAGACTCTGCGTGCCAAAGGTAATGTTCGACGGAGGCTACGAGTACATGTGATTCCAATGATCTTCAGGAGGTTTCATCGAATTTCTTCTTCATTGCCAACAAAGTGCCATTTTACGGAAGCTGGCTTCCGTTTAGCAATTTCTCTTCATCTTCGACAAAAAACAACTTGGCCACGATGATACGTGAGAGATCAGAGATGTTCTTCCACCAATCTTTCAAGCCAGTATCAAAGGCGTGATGAGAGATAATATGATCCGTCTTATAATTCGGCTAAAGTTTTGAAACATCCTAGGATGACGGGATCTTAAAGATAAAGCTATTTTGAACATTCCAGGGTCTCGGGAGTACTTGGGTATTGGAGGCGAGTTGACGTGGCACACCAGATCGATGATCAATTCCAGACGGACGAACGAGGTCTGAGAGCGAATCTCACTGCAACGGTAATCTTTCTTGGTCGATCCAGGATGAACCGGGAACGGAGCTGTCATCGAAACTTGGAAGTGGCACTTGCCTTGTAGCCGCCAGCTCGAGTAAGTCAGTAACTTGATTGTTCATGGTCTGTTGGATCCCCTATCTCCCCGGACATACGACGACTGCAGAAGGGTAGTGCTTACTTGGACTTCATAAACCGACAAAACCAGCGATGGGAATAGCAACACTAGAGACCGACTATAATTCTCATAGGAATTGCATCACAATGAGTACTGTTGATCCATCATGGCCTGCGTAGCGTGAAAGTTCGGCATCCAAAGCCGGAGGCAACCCACAGACGGTCCATCGAGCGAGCTATGGCCCATGGGGGCTTCTCCAGCAGCGAAACGGCAGGGTCCACCCCTGAGACGGCGCATAAGAGCCCTATGTGATCCCAGCTGCACAAGCGTAAGCTTCCCAGGTCCCTTCTAAAGCAGACCAAGAAATCTAGCCCCGAGCGAAGCCCTTCTCCCGCCTTGCCTTGCCATTCAAGTCGTAGCTGAGGTAAAGATGCAATACACCGTAGCACTACCTACGGATACACAGTCGAGACTAAGGTAGTAGGCATTATTGTATCTGTAAAGAATGCAAGGGAAACCCAGCGGCGACGCCCGAAAGCCAATTGGCTCAGCCCCCTATTCGATTCCCCGTTCCGGACAGTGGGGCCGGTCCGAATGGCGTGTGCGCGCCGCAGCTCTCCCACCAGCGCCCCCCGCGAAATTTTTCTCTGCTTTGCGGCGCGCCGCTTGCTGCAAAGCCACAACCGCCGCATCACGCGCACCCTGCCTACATATTCACCCACATTATCCGTATTACCTCACTCATCCTACCTTACCTTACATCTCGCCCCCGTCCAACCCCTTATCGCGCGCTCCCGTCCGAAGCGCCGGGTTTGCGATGCCTTCTCCGGCGCTCGGAGGATACAGCCCGCTGCTCGGCGTCTACGGCGTAGTATCGTTTCTCCGTAACGTAGTGCTACTCACGTCATCCTCACTCATTCTCGTCGCTTTCATTGTCGTCGGGTACCGTCTGTTTCTTCACCCTTTGGCTCGCGTACCTGGACCCAGACTCGCTGCCATTTCGAATGTGTGGTATGCTTACCATGTTCGCAACGGGCGTATGCTCACGCTGGGAAAGACGCTTCATAAGCGGTACGGGCCGGTCGTGAGAGTTGGGCCGAATGACGTTTGGTTCGATTCTGTAGATGCATTCAAGCACATTTATCGTATGTTGACTGTATATTGTGAAGAAGGTCTCATCTCATGCTTACTCGGTTACAGGAGCCGGTAGTGGTTATGAAAAGTCCGATTTCTATTGTACGTTACGACAATCCTCATCTCATTTCACTCCCCCAGCTTACACAAAGTCTACAGTGTCAACTGCCCTCCAAAGACCAGACATCACCTTTACACCCTTTCCGAACTTTTCGTCCCCAGATACACTAGACTTACTATCCGAACGTAACACGCAACGATACCGCTTACAACGGCGTCTCATCGGACCGCTCTACCAGACAGCATACCTCAAACGGCACGAACCTGCTCTCGACGCAGTCCTAGCTCGAGTGATAGCCACGCTCCGTTCTCTCAACGGCGCCGAAGTAGACCTCAAGGAATGGATGCACATCATAGCCGTCGAGTCCCTCTCAGCTGTCGTCCTAACCTGGTCACCAAACTACCTCCGCGACCACACAGACCACTCTTCCAGCACCCACGGCTACCTCGGCTGGCGACGCAAATCCGTCTTTGGGCTCTTCCCTGTTGCCGTGAAGGCGGAGCTGTTCTCCAAAGCATGCGGGAGAACGTTTGCTAACCTCTGGCGCGTGACGTACAAGACGCCAAAGAACTTTAAGCCATTCTTCACCGGCGTCTACCGGCAGGTTTCGCGGAGGGTCACCTCGTCCCTGGCGAACAAGCCGGTCTCGAAGAAGGATCGCAAAGAAGACTTCCTCGTGGATCTGATTCAGCTACACAAGGACAAGCCCGAATTCACGGAGCAGTATCTCCGTCGGATGGCCATCACCAATTTCGGGGCCGGACATGAGACCATGTGTTCCGCGTTGACGTCCATCATGTCCATGATCGGATCACACCCTGAGGCGCAGAAACGGATTTCCGAGGAAGTTTGCTCCGCGGCCGAAGACCCAAAGGTGTATGATAACGCCATCCGCTTAGACTATACGCAAGCAGCCATTAAAGAAGCGCAACGGTTATATCCTGTCCTCGGGATGGCTCTGCCCCGCACGGTGCCCCCTGAAGGACTTACAGTCCATGGAAAGACCTTTCCATCCGGGACTACCGTCGGCTGCAACCCTGTCTCACTACACAGGAACCCTTTAATATTCGGCCCAGACGCGGAAGAATATCATCCGGACCGCTGGCTGGACACGGAAAGGGACCTCAAGGGTATGGAACGGTTTAATCTTACTTGGGGCGGGGGCGGAAGGATGTGTCCCGGACGACACCTTGCGGAGCTGATCGTTTACAAGACGATACCGGCGCTTCTGGAGCACTTCGATTTGGAGGTTGAGATGCCGCCTGAAGCAGAGATACAGTACTACTTCATGGCGATGCTCACTGGGGTGAAAGCCCGGTTCTTGCCCAAGAAAGCAGGAAATTCATGACGGACTGTTACAGCAGCTAGACTTTGGACAGGCGCCCTCATGAAATGTATGAACAGTGTCATGCGTAAACCATCGATACGGCTTATGTTGGAATGGCTGAGACATGAGAGATGACACGAATGACATGAGACACTACATAGAGGTACCAGGATAGACAAAATGATCAACCAGAGCCATAAAATGAAGTGGAGGGGATGAGTAGTTGATTCCTGCTCTATGTGCGGCCCGAGCTGTATTATTTGGTTCACGATTTTCAGTTCAAGGCCAAGGACCCTTCATGTTCTCATACTTGGCGACATTGAGAAGGAAGGTCATGTATCCCACAGCACTCTCCGAGATACCCCTTTTGTATATCTTGCGCGACGGGTAGTACTGGCACCCGCCCTTCTGCCCAGTTTCCGCCGCCTCCTCCTCCGAAATGCCAAACTTGAGCTTGAAGCTCATAATCTTGGTAGCCGCCTCGTTCACGACATGTCTGCTGTACGCCCAGTCGATGGCAGCCCCAGAAGAGCCTTGGAAGACCCGTCCTTTCTTGCGGAGCTTGTCGATGCTGTAAAAAGGCTCGCCAGAGACCTTCTCCATCTGCTCGGCCATGTTGTTCGAGATATCCTTGTAGATGTCGTGGTCTTTAGGGGTCATGTACTCGCCGTACTGTGTGTTCACATCACCGCGCTTGCCATCGTAGCTCTGATTGCGGAAGTTCATCTCGGGGTTGGTGGTCTGGATTGGAGTGTCCGACCACGCGTGGCTCACGATGCGGTTCTTCGTGTGGACGTCGAGATACCATTTGATGGATGGATACTGGTCAATGACCCACGCCATGTTCCGCGACTCGGCTTCGGAGAAGGGTGCGGGGCCGTGAAAGAGCTCATGCTCGGGCTTGTCGGAGGCGACGTCGAGAGCCTGATGGCTGTAGATCTTGCGGTAGTCCCAAGTGAAGTTGAAATTGCGATCAATGTTGACGCCGATACCGTTGATGCCATTCTCAGAGGGGCGGGAAGTAGGGTTGATGTTGTTGCCCCAACAGTTATTCCAGCGCTCGTCCCATAGTTTGCCGTCTGGGTTGACCAGGGGGAAGATGACGATGCCGAGGGACAGTACTTGTCGGACTTGCGCGAGTGTAAAGACGGTGGTTGTGTTGTAGACGAGCATGGCCTTGTGCTTGTCGGCCCAAAGGAGGTCAGAGATGAAGTAAAGAAGACTGTCTGGGCCGCCGCGCTCGCGGGCCTGGACGCCGGCGGTGAGGTAAACGCGGTAATTTTTGCGCTCCACGCGGCTGACACCGTCGGGGACGGGGAGGAAGGCGACGGTGGACTTTTGTTTCCAATAGGTATCGAAGGGCGCTTGAGTGAGCTGGACGCCGTACTCCCTCTCGAGGCCCTTCATGGCGCTGTTCACCTCCCAGCCGTTGAAGACGGTCCTGTAGTCATCGGGAGAGCTGCTCTGATTGGTGCCGATGCCTCTAGGGAATCTGGCGCCTTCATGGAAGCGGTCAATGGTATTGACTTTTGCTGAATCCATGAGGCGATAGTCTTGGATGGTTTTTCCATTAGAAAGAAGGGCCGTAACGATAAGCTTGGTGATCTTCTTGAAAGAAGTCACCGGACCCTTGTAAATTCCCATCTTGTTGGAATTTCCGTGTAACGATTTGACGACTGAGAAGAGCTAGGTTCAAGAATTCTCATCTTGTAGGTATTGTTTGAAAAGAGCATGATGACCTATATATGAGCCGAGTGTTCTCGGAAGTCTACTCTGTCTTGGTCTGCACGATTCTCACACAGGACCTTTCCGAGATAGTATGGAGCTATGTGTGTGAACATTGCTGGCTTTAAATCGTGTGGCTGCATGTCGACGAGGATTTTCTGCAATAAAGGTAAAAGTTTAATGTGTGTTTCCAATTCCCGATGGTTGATAGTCAAAGCCAACACGCTCAAGCTGGTCGACAGAAAGTATCGTAAGATCACTTGAGCTGACTTATACTTTGAGATAATATTCCTGCAGACGCCGTCGAGGGAGAAAGGGGGCGTTAAACCAGCAAATGTGGGCGTAAGTTTGCAGCCTTAGACATGTGCAGAGACCCTGGGCCGTTGAGGTTTGGAGGCGTATGCAAAACGACCGCAGGTTGAGCGCCACCTAAAAGGCTTCAGGCCAGAACATTGACAAATCTTTCCGTTAGTAGTCGAGGTGCTGAATTTTTAATTGAGAGTTTGTGACGATGGAATTTGTAGGACTCTAGACGGGGTGGCTGACATCGATACCTTGACGACCATTGTTCTGCGAGGAGACTTTTTTAAATGAATTTGAGAAATACTAGGCCTAGATTCCAAAGAGAGGGGTCATAAATGGCCAAAGGTTGACGAAGTTTGTGATATCTGGGAATAGCTTCACAGTACCAGGCACTACAGTGCAGATAGTTAGGCACAGTATACGGCGATACCTGGGGTCTGGAGAAACGGTGCATCCGATGTCCCGCGGTTGAGGTCACCAACCCCACACTGGGCGCTTCACCAGTCACATCCATGGATTCCGGCGTGGTGGCACTGGACGGCTAGCGCAGCAATCCACATCCCACCCTGAAGCCAAATTCCCAATTGCAACACGTCGTCCTCCCGTTACTCGAGAGCATCGCCAAAAGAACCCCCTTCGAGATACCCCAAGTCGGCTCGGTAGCCGCAAACCGCTCACCATGGTTCTTCAAGATCTCGGTCGTCGCATCAACACGGCCGTCACAAATCTCACCAGAGAGCCCAACCTCGACGAAAAGGTGCGCCGCATTCCTACCCCGCAGAACCATCCGTCGCCGTCGCCACACGATGCCGCCGTGAGATGCATCAGCAGCTGCTAACAAGATCTGTATCCGTGTCGCAGGCTTTCGATGGCATGCTCAAGGAGATTTGCTCCGCCCTTCTCGAAGCCGACGTCAACGTGCGCCTCGTCGGCCAATTGCGAAAATCGATCAAGAGTACCGTTAACTTTAAGGAGCTCCCGCCCGCCGTCAACAAGAAGCGCCTCATTCAAAAGTCCGTTTTCGATGAGCTTGTCAAGCTCGTCGATCCTCATGCCGAACCATTCAAGCCTAAGAAGGGCAAGTCCAACATCATCATGTTTGTCGGTCTGCAGGGTGCCGGTAAAACGACAACATGTACCAAGCTCGCACGTCACTACCAGGCGAGAGGCTTCAAGGCCTGCCTGGTGTGCGCTGATACCTTCCGTGCTGGTGCTTTTGACCAGCTGAAGCAGAACGCGACCAAGGCGAAGATTCCATACTACGGTTCCCTGACAGAGACGGACCCGGCGGTGGTAGCAAGAGACGGTGTCGAAAAGTTCAAGAAGGAGAAGTTCGAGATCATCATCGTGGATACATCAGGTCGTCACAGGCAAGAGGAGGCTCTGTTCCAGGAGATGGTGGACATCCAGACGGCAATCCGACCCGACGAGACGATCATGGTGCTCGACGCATCCATCGGTCAGCAGGCCGAGTCGCAGGCCAAGGCGTTCAAGGAATCAGCAGACTTCGGAGCCATCATCATCACCAAGACGGACGGTCACGCAGCGGGTGGTGGTGCCATTTCCGCCGTCGCAGCAACACATACCCCTATCGTATTCATCGGTACGGGTGAGCACATGCTCGACTTTGAGCGTTTCGCACCACAACAATTCGTACAGAAGCTGCTTGGCATGGGCGACATGGCCGGACTGGTGGAGCACGTGCAAAGTTTGAAGCTCGACCAGAAGGACACGATAAAACACATCACGGAAGGTATCTTTACGGTACGCGACCTGCGGGACCAGCTATCCAATATTATGAAGATGGGTCCATTATCTAAGATGGCGGGCATGATTCCCGGCATGAGCGGTATGATGCAGGGCATGGACGACGAGGAGGGTAGCGCCAAGCTCAAGCGTATGATCTACATTTGCGACTCGATGACGGAGAAGGAGCTTGATTCGGACGGCAAGATGTTTATCGAGCAACCGACGCGGATGACGAGAATCGCTCACGGGTCGGGAACCTCGGTGCGCGAAGTGGAGGACCTGCTGACGCAGCAGCGGATGATGGCGGGCATGGCCAAGAAGATGGGCGGCAACATGAAGAACATGCAGCGCGCGCAGCAGGCCATGGGCGGCGGCAACAAGGCACAGCAGATGGCGGCCATGCAGAAGCGCTTGCAGAGCATGGGCGGCGCCGGAGGTATGGGCGGGGGCGGGATGCCGGACATGGGCAGCCTCATGAAGATGCTCGGCGGCGGAGGCGGCGGTGGCATGCCCGATATGCAGGCCATGATGCAGCAGATGGGTATGGGTGGTATGGGTGGTATGCCGGGCATGGGCGGCGGAATGCCTGGTGCCGGCCGGGGCCGCGGCGGACGTCGTTGATGTAATCTTGTGGGGAGGAGAGATGATGATGTCTAAACCAAAGAAAAAAAGAGTAATCCGTACCAAAAAGATGCTTCGTCGATGATGACAAGCAACTGCGAGTGGGGAGGCATGGATGAAGGCATGATGGATTTATTGGAGTCGCCAGGGGCGGGATCACATTCGGAACCCTCTTATTCATAGGCTTGGCGTTTTGGGAGGAGAAGCACGAAGAGGGTGGAAATACAACAAGACTTCCCAATCTTTTGCCATGTTGATCCAAACCTGCTGCCATAGTGAAATTCAGCGGCTTCCCTTGATTGACGTGATGGTTGCATCTCTGGCTGGTAGGCCTGCCCGCCTTGCTCTCCAGTAGCAGGTGACGAGCGAAAATCACCTTTGGGAAGAAGGATGTGAAGATCTTACGAAGCCGCGCAATGTATTGCTTCACAGTGGAGCCCGCAAGCGTCTCGAGAGATACTTGGCTCAACCAACCACCAACGCACCAGCAATCACCGATGCGCTCCCTGATACTGCTGTGACGGAGAATTTAGACCGGTGGATTCTGTCAATCGATCAACGTGCGTTTGGGTCCATCACCCGCGGCCAGCATAGCGTACCAACGTCACAGTGAACCGGCCGCGTTTGAATCTGTGGCGGTGTGGCGGTGCCGCATTAGCCAGGCGAGCCATGGCAAGACTTTTCCATCGAGATTTGTGGCGCGTGCGGTAGCAAGTAGTGTAGTAGCAAAACGGGAATAATGGGCAGAGAAAACGACAAGCAATTAAGGTAGGGCGAGGATATTCTGCCAGCAGCTCCCGCTATTCTGCCACCAAGTGTGGCTGCGGCAGGCCCTACCTCCGACCACGGAGCCTAGCTACCCATACCTACCCACTTACCTACCTACCTACCCACTTACCTACCTACCTACCCACTTACCTACCTACCTACCTACCTACCTACTTATAACTACTACTTCGTTAACCTCGCTGTTACTACCGCCATTAATTAAAGCTATTCCTAACGTTAATATACTATAAAAAGAGAATAATTACGAAGTTAATAATCCCTTTATTTATTAATATATTATTAATTATAATAATTACGGTTACGTAAAGTATAACTACTTATTTTATAATTAGTACTTCTCTAGCTTATTTAAAGCTAAAGTAGTACTTAACGAGGCTACTTACGAGGCTAGTTTCGTAGTCTAAATTATTTAATATAAGCCCTTTACTAAAGTACTAACTATTATTACTTATTATTATACTTATAGTCCGTATTATAATTAAAAATAATAATACTTTATAAAGTTAACTATTACGGCTAGCTAGTCGTAATAAGTATATTAATAAAAGTTAAGGCTACGAATACTAAGTAAATAGTATTGTAGTTAGGGATAGCTTCCCTAAAGCTATGTTTATAAGTCGTAAAGTAAATAAGGCTTCGGTAATTAATCGTAGTCTTATTAAAAGGGGTTTTTAATAAAAATAGCTAAAAGTAATTATAAGATTTAATATTAAGTTAATTATTAAAGAAGCTATAAGAAGTCTATTTTTAAACCCGGCTTAAATCTATACTATATATAAGTCTCGTTTTTAAATATATCCTTTATAATATTCCTATTTATTATTATTTAACTATTTACTAAACGGTCGTTTATCCTACTTATTTACGATCGTTTGTCTTACTTATTTATAAGCGTTCGTTCTTTATTTTATTATATAATTATAGTTACGTAACTTATTTATAGTTTTTCCATCCCGAGGGGAGTTACTTTAAGTCCGTATTTTTATATATATAGTATAATAGCTACTATAAGTCTTATAGGGCGAGGCCCTGGCCTTATTATATATATTAGGTCGTAATATTAGCTTCTTTTTTTAAAAGTCTAGTCTTCTAAGTTTATAAGTAGGTCGTCTATTCTTAGGTTAAGGAATTATTAAGTATTTTTTAAAATATACTAATATAATATTAGGTCGAATTAAAAAATCGAAATCTTTAATAACTATGTCTCGTTATAAATTATTACGTATTATTCGCTTTTTTAATAAAAGTATAAAAATAATACTTTATTTAAATTATCGTTCATAAGGGGTCCGTTATTTAGTTCTTTTTAATTTCGAGGTTTATAAAACGTATTATTATTTAGGTATTTTATATAATACGTTTATTAATACTATCTATACTTATAAGTATTACGTTTCTATTTATAAGTCTTAGCTAACTAAATATAGTTAATTAGTTAGTAACGGAGTCTAATTATTTTAATCGTAAAGAAAAAGTAGAAAAGTTACGGTTTTAAAAAAGGGTTACGGAGTTATAAAAAAAGGCTAAGGCTTATTAATAAACCTAAGCTAAATTAAATAAGTTATTATCTAAGTTAGAGCGTCTTCGTTTTTAAAAGCGAATAGTATTTAAAAAGAGTCGTATTATATTAGAGGAGTTCCCTAAGGATTTTAAAAATACTTCCTTAGTAGCCCGTAAAATATAGGTTAATAATACTTTTAAAATTATTAATTAGGATGCCGTAATAGCTAGGAGTTCTAAATTTAATTTTAATTTTAATACTCCTCGAGAAATTATTGGGAGTTCTAGAAGTTCGTAATAAGTTTTTATATATTTTTTTTATATCCGTAGTTTTTTTACTTAATAAAGAATTCTCGTATTTTATTCCTAATTCTATAGTTAATAATTCGTTCGACTTCGTACTCTAGTTAGTTTAATTCGATAATAATATAATCTTCTATATATAAACCCTTTAGTATAGGTTTAAGTAGTAAAATATAAAAAATAAGATAGTATTATATCGTATTTAGTAATTTTAATTCGTAATTAATTAATAAGACTTTTTTAATAATTTTAAAAAGTCTAAGTTTTTTATAGTTTAATTTATCGCTTAGTTATTTTATTTTAATATTATAGTAAAGGAAATAGGTACTATTCCCTTTTTTTAAAAATAGTCCTTTAATTTTTAATCTATCCACGTTCTTTTTTATATATTATTATATAAACTCGAGGTTTAGTAAGGCTTACCTATAGATTTTTTTAAATTTACTTACGTCTACTATAGCTTTTATAGCTTATAGTCCTTATTATACTTCTCTATATACTATTAACTAAAATCCGTAATTAAAATAAAATAGAAATTCTCTCGTACTTTCGTTAACTATATTATTATATACGAACTAGGTTATTAATAGAAGTACTACTTAATCGTCCTAGTCGTAGTTTACGTAATAACGGAGGTATGTTTTAAGGATCTAGTTAATCCTTTTTATCTATCTATCGGTTTATAAATAAAATAATATCGATAGTTTATAATCTATACCGAGTTACGAAATTAGGGATTTCTAAAACTTCGAAATAAATAGCTTATCTCTATCTGAGATAATTTCTTTTAGTAAACCGTAGTTTAAAAATATAACCTTAATAAATACGTATACTAAGTCTTTTATAGTACTTAATTCTTTATAAAGAATAAAGTGCGCAAACTTAGTAAGTCGGTCGACTATAACTAAAATACTATCGTACTATACTTTAATAAATAGTTCTCTAAACTTTAGTAGTTTAATAATAAAGTCCTATATAATTAAATACTATGCTTTTATTAATAGTTATAGTAGTTATAGCTCGTTATAAGGTTTATACGGGCTATTCTTACTCTTTTTATAAGTCGCATAATTTTTAATTATTTCTATAATTTTAGTACGTATAGTGGATTTATTATAATATTAGCGAATCCGTTTTTACGTTTTAATAATTCCTTAGTAACCGTATACTAGTATATTATAAATTTTTATAATAAGCTTAGGGGTTATCTTTTTAATCAGGCTAATATTAATCTTTTTAACTATTATAAAAAGCTTCGTAATTAGTATAAGGCTACCGTCCTTTTTTTATTTAAAAATAACTTATATTTTTTTAGGAACTACGACTTCGTAGTCGGGCCTTTTACTAAAAGCGTCTACTCTACTATTTTCTAAACTTTTTTAATAAATAATTCGGAAGTTAAATTCGGATAAGAACTCGCTCTATTTAACTTATCGTTTATTTAGGTTTTTATTTATTATAAAGTTTATAAAATTTTTATAGTTTATATAAACTATAACTTCGTACTTAGTTCTAGATAATTATAATCTCTATTCTCGAAATACTTCGATAATTACTATAAGTTCTTTATTATAAATTTACTAATTTAACTTTGCTCTATAAAATACTTTAGAATAGAAGTAATATAAGTAAAGCTTTTTTTATTTATTTTATTATTTTAAAACTACTCTTATAGCGAAGTTTAAAGCGTTAGTCTCGATTTTAAAAGGTTTTCGAAGGTCTAGGATTATAATAACTAGTTTAAAAACGACTATATTCTTAACTTTAATAAATACTTTTTTATACTTAAGATCCTAAACGAATGGGGTATTTTTTTATATTAAGTTATTAAGAGGTCTAATTATGCTAATATAGTCCTTAAGGAATTGTTAATAGAAATTAATAAATCCTAAAAATCCTTATACGTCCTTAATGTTTTATAGTATAGGCTAGTCCTTAATTATTTCTACTTTTAATATTTATATATAGATCTATCCTAGTATAATAGTATATTTTAAGAAATCTATTTTTTATATATAGAACTTATATTTAGAGAGTTCGGTATATAACTTAGTATCTTAGAGTTTTTAAAATACTATATAAATATGCTTTTTATATATTTTAAAATCGGGGGAGAAGATAAGAATATTATTAATATAGATAATAATAAAGATATTAACGTACTCCCGGAGTACGTAGTTAACTATTATTTAAAAAGTTACCGGAGTATTAGTAAGTCCGAAGGGTATAACGAGGTATTTAAAGAGTCCTTTATAAGTTTAGAATACCGTTTTCTACTCGTCTCTTTTTTTAATTCGAATCTAGTTAAATACTTTTTTAAAATCTATAATAATAAACTAGTTAGCTCCGTAAAATAAATCTCTAAGCTTAGTAATAAATAATAAGGGGTAATAATTCTTTTTTATAAT